TTTGCAAAAACTGACCACTAAGCAGAATGTTGCCATATTGTTTAGTCACATCAGGTCTGCTAAAGGTGAAAGGCAGTTGGGATGGCAGTTGTTACGGTATTTCACATGCAGGGAATATAACTCAGTGAGTACTGAATTATTTGATATAGCCATCGTCACCTAAGTTACTGGTTTCAGAGGGTATACTTATTCTTCCTCAGGGAAGGACAGCATTTGGCTCCTTGTCTCTGGTCATACAGTATCTCTTGAGAAACAGGTAACACAAAACAAAAGCATAAGGTACTGAAGGGGCTGGCTGGACTAGAGGGGGTGAAAGGGTATAAAACAAAATGATTCCATGCTTATATCCTGGGACAGCAGACCAGGCTCTCTTGCCAGACTGTTGGCCCTGCAGTTTGTGCCTGTAACACAGGGATGATTGTACAGACCTTCGTTTGCAGTACTTTAAGATATCTAATCCAAGTCTCTAAATAGCAGGTTACACTGTGCAGTCCATGTGCAGGTGTAGTACTTACATAGCTTGAGGTGGTAGGGAAAGTACAGGAGGAACCTTCATTAGGCAGCTGTATTTCTGAATCCAGATAATTAAGAGTGGAATAAAACCTGTACAGCTTTACAAGCATTGCCTGTAGGATCCCAGATGGCCTCATGTGGTACCCTGCTTAGGAACCTCCACTCCACCCAGCCCAGCTTAGCTTGTGGGTTTCAAAGTGCTAATAGCCCAGCTGTGATGCCTCCCAGACACGTTGTGTTGCAACCTCTTCTCTCTGCCTCCTGCAGGGAACTGCATGAGTGAATTCATGGGGCTCATCAAAGGCCACTATGAAGCAAAGGAGGAAGGTTTCCAGCCTGGAGGGGCCAGCTTGCACAGCATGATGACTCCTCACGGGCCGGACGCTGAGTGTTTTGAGAAGGCGAGCAAAGCCAAGCTGGAGCCTGAGAGGGTTGCAGAAGGGACCATGGTAAGGAGCCAGTGGAGCTAGTAAGATTTTGAGTACAGCATGGCAAGTACTTGGACAAAACTGCTGCAGCATTCAGCTCCCAGGAGCTCCCCTGGAGATATGGGATGGCAGCAGCTTTGCTCATCTGCCCACGTACATTGTTGCCTGAGCAGGAAGCTGGGACTTCTCATGCTGCTTCAGTTTTGTCTTAGGCTATGGACAAAGAAGTGAAACCCCTGACTGTCCTCCTTTCTCCACCCCCTAAAAACCTAACGATGATGATGAGTAGACCTTGAACTAGGGCTTTTGGAACAACCTGGCTTTCCTGGGCATGAAGGGAGTTTCAAAGTCACTCCTGGGATCTGGTTAATACCAGCATTGCAATGCCAGCTCCAAACAGCTTTCTCTCCCCAGGCTGAATCAAGCTGTTTGCGGTAGAGCAAAGCCACCCTGTCTGGATTTAAACTCCCGCTCCCTTGGCCTAACCTGCCTTCCCTCTTCCCAACAGGCCTTCATGTTCGAATCATCCCTCAGCCTTGCCATCACCAAATGGGGCCTCCAGACCTCCAAACGCCTAGATAAAAACTACTACAAGTGCTGGGAAGCTCTGAAAAGCCATTTTAACTCTAAGTGCAAGTAAAGAGAAGTACCTGTTGCTTGCAATAAGTGAGCGAAGGCAGGGAAATCCAGCATACCTACGTGGGGTGGCACGGTTGACTCCAGCACAGAATAGCATTTCCAGCAGCCACTGAGCCACGAAAATGATGATCCCTATTTAACTTGGGAAATGCAATAAAAAATGCACCATTATTCTTAACTTTCAAGTATCCCATTAAAGCTTTCCTGGTGACATGCTGAAGCTGAAGTATTTGCACAGCTCTCACCACACACAGTTGGTGTGAATGCTGTACCTTGTGTGGACACGAGGAGACGGCCAGCTCCCTCCACAGGGCCTCCTGAAAATGTGATGTGTGTTCCACAGGGAGCAGCTAGGGATCTACAAAGCATTTTATGCCGTCTGTAGGGTAGAACTTTACAGAGCTGAAGGCTCTACCATACCTAAGCCTCCTATTACAGCAGGCCACTTCAACCTGCTGATCTGTGGATAGCTGCCAAGGGAAGACTTTGATTGTCAGAAAAGTAGACTGCAAATTAGAAAAGGTGGGAGAATCCAAAACACTTCACTGCTGAGGGAAAGTTTCCTTTCCAATCCCACGCTCCAGCCATCCTTCAACATTGACTTGTTTGTCAGTACTTGTCAAATATCTCTCCCTACTCAAAGTTCTGATTTGCAGCACAGCAAATGTGAAAGGGCTTGTCTGGCCAGTCCAGGCATTTGTTCCTGGCACCCTGAAGAAAGCTCAAGTGCAGACAACATCACAAAGGACCTCAACATTCATTGTGGTATGCAAGCCTTATTCCCAGGTGGCAAGTTCCACAGGGTCAATGCAGAAAGTGAAGCCCCAAATACAGTGGGAACCAGGAGCACAGCCCAGGCACCCCAAACCTCACACCTACACTTTAGCACATACCCATGTAAACAGTTAATAAGCTTGGTGCCAGCAAGATCTATGTTTCTTACTTCCCAAGACAAACAATCCTCAGTTTTCCAAAAGAGAAAGAAAAACAGAGCTGCGACTCCTAACTTCAGTTATACCCATCATCAGTTTTGGATCTGCACCAGATCCTTGGCGGGGGGGAGTATCAGCTTTGAGCAAAGTATTATAATATAAAATCTACAGGGAGATGTTTACTCTAAAATAGCCAGTTCAGAAAAGAACATCCAGAAGAATCAATTTGCTGGAGAAGTTGATTTAATCAGACTGATCCAGGGCTAAATGAGGTCTGAAAATTTCACAGGCAGTGGGGAAAAGCTTGTTTCTTGTTTGGGACCTAAATTATCATCCAGTGACCTGCAGGCTCGAGTTTCTCTTGCTATGCATTCATCACTGAAGCAGACATGGGTGGTAACACATCAAGTCAAGGGTAAAATTCCACGAGGCACATTCACTCTCCTGTCTTCATCCTACATTTCTGAAGGGAAACTCCCCCCTCCTTCCTCTACACACTGCACCACTGCCTCAACCAACCCCACCTCCAGTAGCATCACACATTTGTTACTTGCAAGAAAAGCAGCTCGGAGAGTTCTGCAAAGAACAAGAGAGAAAAGTAGGGCAGCCTTTCCCCAAGCACCACACTCAAATCTGCAGGGACATAGCATCAGACACTTGCGATGGCAAAGGGAAGGGCTGTGGCAGGTGCCACAAGCATCAGTCCAAGGCTGGCCTAAACGACTAATGGCACTGCACTCATCTACAACCCATTCTGAACCATTTGCTCAGCTGGCCTGAAACAAATACAGCTGTGAGGGAGAGTTTACGTGTGTGGCAACTCAAGTTCCAATTAGCTGAGGAAACGGGTCCTGGGAGATCAAATTATTTTGTGGCAGCAGGAAGACAGTTAATTTAGCATGCTCAGACAAGCAATTACTTCTTTCCCTAAATACCACTTTCTCCATGCGCTGATGCCTCTCCGCACTGACCCACAGCAGAAACCTGTAATATCATTTGTGACAGTCTTTTAGAAGCTGTTCTGCAGAGAGAACAATCTGGGTTTGCTTTAGTTAAGTGAGCAGAAGAAAAAGCCACGAGGACAGATATAAGAGGGTTGCTGGGAACACACATGGGATTGCAAAAGCAGGCCATGGCCTTGTACAGCTGCTGCAAAACCTTAGTCCCAAGCTCCTCACAGTCTGAGCATCTGATGTGCCAGACAGGAAAGGGAAGAGCTGCAGCAGGAAACAAAGAAACAAAACCCCCTTTTTTTACTGTGAGGGTGACCAAGCACCAGCACAGGCTGTACAGAGAGGTTGCATAGTCTCCATCCTTGGAGATACTCAAAAGCCATTTGCACACGGTCCTGGGCAACCTACTTTAGGGGTCTCTCGTTAAGCAGGGTCTTGGACCAGGTAATGCCCAAAACGTCCCTTCCCACCTCAAGCATTTTGTGGTTACATGAAAAAACTCATCAACTCATTCTGATGGAGAGGGACTTCAAACAGCCAGTATCTACATCTTAATCATACAGCAAGGGACGTGGTAGAGCTGCTTTTGCTGACTTCACACAGGCTGCTTTCCCAGCAAACAGAGGGAAGGTTTCAACTTTTGCATCAGACTGAGATCTTGGCATTAACCTCAACATCTGAGAAGAAACCTGTGCAATGTCTAACGAATGATGGATGGTTGGATCATTGATAGCACCTACAGGCCATGTGAAAAGTCTGGATTAAAAATCTTTTCCTTGCATTCATGTTCCGGTACTTTGACAGTAACAATTCCAAAGCCCCTTCTACCAGTTGACTTAGGCAGAAACAACTTTTGTTCTTATAAAAAGAAGCAGAGAAGGCACCTTTGTGGGCACAAGGTTTAGCTATGCTTGGTTTTTTTAATCATGGCCCATTTTCAGGGATGAAATGGAATTCTTCTGTAGTGAATCAGTGTCAAAAATAAAAATCCTTATCATTACTTGTCTCCCACTCACAGGAATGACAGTGGAAATGCCAGTCACCTAGAGCATGACATCATCCAGCTTGTTATTTCCAAGTCTGCTATGATAATTTTATCCCAAAGTTTACTGCAAGAAAGACATGGTTTAGGCTTGCTTTTTATTAGGGAAAAGAAAAACTTATTAAGAGCAGTTAGGAAGGCTCCTGAAGTTACTAAAGATTACCACAGAACTTGCCTATTATCCGATTAGGGCAAACTACAGTTAAACTGATGCCAAGAATACATACCTAGTAAGCAACCAGCAGTTCTGTAGGAGCTGCTCTGGGCCTGCTTAATATTTCAGCTTGTGCTGCTCTGACAGCAGCAACTTCCACAGTTTAAGAGGCCTCTGTATGTAGACCAAAGGAGTACAGTGGTTTTGTTCAGGGCACTCTGTATCTATCTGTGTTAGATATACAGATCCTGCATTTCTGCACTTTCAGTAACTGTTATAGATGCAAGACAACCAACAAGCTGTTAAGATTTATTCTTATGAAGGAGAAACATCAGCAAGTAACAATACATCTTATTTTATTTATATGCCATCAGCAGCACTGCAGTTCCAGGAGCTTAAAATAAACTGAACGGTCGCTCGTATTTACCTTCCTTGATAAGCTTCTCTTTGTGATCCTGTGGAAGAAAGAACATTCATCAGCATCCTATTAAAGAAGTTAATCAACCTGGGATAAGAGAAAAGCAGTTCTAGTATTTCAGCATGGACTATAGGAAGATGGCATCATATGTGAGCTTAGGGGTCTTTTCCAGCCTAAATGATTCTATAAGCACAAACTTAACAGCTGATGAGGTTAAAAAGTGAAAAAGAACAAGGCATTTAGCTTCACCTAGCTTCTGAGCTACAGAAGACGTGCTCAGATTGACATCTCTGCAAATCCAGCCACTCTCACAGGCCAGCAGAGACCAATTCCTTCGAATGTATTTTTCACCTAACTAACTAGTTGTGTCGCAGGGAATTTATACATAGTCTTTACCTCCTCCTTCCGGCTGAGCAATCCAGTTACAAAGAGACTTTGTAGTAACTTGCCCAAATATACCTGTGTTAACATTCAGCCCATTTGTATCTCACCCTGCAGTCACAGACTTTGCTGACAAGTATTGTTACAGTACACAGACACTACAGATACTGTACTTTACACACCACCACAAAAAAACCCAAACATCAGTAAAGGAACTGGAATAATGGAAAACAATTTTTTCTTGGGACTAGATTGAAGAGTTCATCTTAAACATTCCCAGGCAATTATGGCTGGATTTCACCCACACAGGTTTATTGTCAAGCACTCACATGCTAAGCCACACTTGGTGGCTAAGCCCAGCTGTGGCTTCACATACAAAACCAAACCACCATGACAAAATACTGTGGAGATGCTGAAGTCTCAATAACATTTCTATCAACATGCTGTATTTCCTAAAACCTGCATTTTTGATCCATCCTAGCAAACAACGTTCCCTACAAATATTCTATTCATTTTAATTAATGTTTGTGCTTTTTGGTTTATGACTTGATCTAAAAATGCTACTTTTGTGCAAAAGAGTGAAATAGCCACAGATTCACTAGTGAACACAGCCACTGTCTGCCCATTACACAGCGTTTTCTTATGTATGTATATAGCTGAGTTTTTTCAGAATTGCTCAGATTCTGAAGTCTGCATTTCAGGAGTTAGACCAGAAGTGAGATAAACCTTAACATCTTAACCATGCTGCTGAGAGGAGGCACTGTAATCAGCACAAGTACTCCTCCCCATTTGCTTCATGAGTTTAGAGAAATGGTCAAGCATTTACAGAGACACTGAGAGGTCTGTTATCCATAAGCTCCCTATTTATTTATTTTAGAAAGCATAGCTACTGCATGTCAACAGCTGAAAATAATGGTATTTTACGATTAATTTGTACTGTCAGTGCTAGAGAGAGCTTTATTGTAGCAAAATATCTTAATCAGGGAAACTGTGGCCATACCCCAGGGTACAATAAAGGGCTCTCAGCACTACAGGACTTTGCAACCAGTTCTGAGGCTTTGAGACAGCAGGCTCAGTAGCAACCTTCCCTCCCTCATTACTTTAACGGTATTAATCATCCTCAGGTGCAAGAGGATTCCATCCATTCAGTCTCCAAGCAGATCCTCACTTTACACCGGGACGTTCACCAACGTTCCACATCGCCAACTCACCCTTTCAAACTTGAAGACAGCAGCCCAGAAGAGGAGAGGGCCTAGGCCAAAAACAAGCCCTAGGAAGGACGTCTTCGGTGTCGGGCGGAAGGTAGGGTACACATTGTGCGTCCGGGCGTAGACCCAGCGGGTCAGGGCAGGGTTTTCCTGGGTTGGAAACAAACCCCACAGTGAGGCCTCAGGGCCCCTGCTCACCTCCGCGCAGCCCCTTCCCCCGCCGCTGGGGCCTGCAAAGCCAGGCCGGGAAGGACACCAAGGTCACGGGGAGGACGGAGCAGCGCCTCGCCCTCACGGCACCATGCCCGGGACACCGGGCGCTGCGGACAAGCCCCGCGTTTCCCTGTCCCCGCGGCCCCGTCCCCACTCACGATGACTGGCGGACGGTTGGGGTTGTTCAGCTGCAGCTGGTACTGCCGCTTGAGCCGGGCGCGGATAGCTAAGCGCTCGGCCTCAGCACGGCGGCTCTCCGGCGGCACGTCGAAGGTGCTGCGGTCGAGCTCGGCCGGCAGCGAGACGAAGCGGTTGGGCCGGTAGCGCTCGGCGGCGCTCACAGGCGCCTCCGACGCCATCTTGGACACAGGGCGCCGGGAGAGACCCGCCTCTCCCCGCTCCGGCCTGCGCGGCCGACACCGCCCCCTGGCGGCCGGGGGTGCTGATCACCCCCTCAGCAGCGTCTGGGAAAGGGGGGGGCCGCCATGGGAGGTTGGTGCCTTCCTGACGCCAGGAGGTTAAGGGGCCGGGCCCCTCCGCTTTGGGAGGAGCAGGAGCTCCGAGGCAGAGCTGAGGTCTGTGAGGGGCGTTGTGCAGCCCTGGGGATAGCGGGGTGGTCATGGCTGTGATCTCTGTCACAGCCCTAAACCGTGCAAGCCGACACAAAATATTTGATCTCTCAGCTGGGCTGGTTCAGCCTGGAGAAGAGACGGCTCCTCAACGGGAGACCTTAGAGCAGCTCCCAGTGCTTCAAGGAAACCCGGAAAGGGACTCTGGACAAGGGCCTGTAGTGACAGGACGGGGGGAATGGCTTTAACCTGCCAGAGGGGAGGCTGAGATGAGCTCTTAGGCAGAAGCTCTTCCCTGTGAGGGTGCTGAGGCGCTGGTGCCCAGAGAAACTGTGGCTGCCCCATCCCTGGCAGTGTTCAAGGCCAGGTTGGACACAGGGGCTTGGAGCAACCTGGTCTAGTGGAAGGTGTCCCTGCCCGTGGCAGGGGGTTGGAACCGGATGAGCTTTGAGGTCCCTTCCAATCCAAACCAGTCTAGGATTCTGTGAAATCACCTCTTTGATGTGCTAACCAAGGCTGAGCTCATTGGATAAGCCACCAGAGGACCTTCAGGGTTACCGTGTGGTGGCTCAACACCCTGACAAACTGTACGGATAGGTTCAGAAATCATCCTTTGATGATGATCACGAGGTGAAGAAAGCCAGCTCTGGCCTTACGATTTTGGCTTTGGGATATTTCTGTCTCATCGGTATTAAGAGCTTTGTTCTCCAGAGATGTAAATCATAGATACCAGTTGTCTTTCTGAAACAAACTTGACAGTAAAACAAGTTTTCTGCTGTTTTTTTCTTCTTTCAGTATACAAAGCAATGACAGCAGCTATTCTGATTGGAACCAGGTAAGTTAATGGCTGTGTATATATAGTTATAGCCTCATTTACCCTGAGGTAACTCTACAGACTCGGGTAATGTTGGATGAGGGATTACAGCTTGCTCCTAAGCACACACAAAGTAATATTGCTGGTTTTATTTAAGATGCTGTGCTTTGGCACTGAATAATGGAGCAGAAGCTCTGCCTTGCATCTTATGATTTCACTTGTCTTTTACCTCAGCACTTGGAAAATAGGTAATCTCCTTTTGGTCTGAGCAGCTAACTGGGAGCTGGGGCTTTGTGACTTGTGTCTAGTTGGACATCCCTGAGCAAGACCGCCACAGCAGGAGGTGCTTTTCCCTCTCTTAAGTCCAAGCCCACAGTCCTCTCAGGAGCTCTTTCCTGGTGTTTCTCCAGTTTTTTCACCCTCATTTTCTTCACAAACAAGCAGCTGCAAATCCAAGTGAAAACCAAGCTGCTTCGTTCACAGTCAGCTCCCGCGGAAGTGCTTACATGCCCTGTTGCTTTGTTTCCCAGGGCTTTCGGCTTGGGATAGTAGGTCCTGTTGCACAGAACAGTTTACTTCTTCTCCCAGTTTCTGACCATTGGATTTAGTGTGATCTCTGTCTCCAGCTCCATGATTACCTCTCTCCCTAAGTGGCATGTGAAGAGCTACTTTAGCAGCACAGTACACATACCAGCAGCACTGCCATGTGGCTCTCCTGTGGTACTTCTATCTCTGAGGGTTCCCAAAGACTTGGCAGCCTGTGTTTCCCTGCATGTGCATGGCCTGCTTCTTTAAAAGCTGATCCTCCCTGCTCTTATTTCTTAATAAATGGCACATGCAGCATAGAAGCAGAGAGATTCCCGGCAGGAACAGGGGTACAGGTTGGATTCGTGTACTGGGAAGAGGTAGCTGCTCCGTGGGAGTCGGGTGATGTTCCCCTCTTTGCTCCATCGCAGAGTGGAACAGAAAACTCCTGTCCCTGCAGATCTCCCAAAGGACTTTGAAACAGCCCCAGTCTGCTGTGTCCTGAGATGTGTCTGTAATGGTGTGGGACAGTTCCTGTGGGAATGAGCAAAGATGCTCTTGTGGTGTTCAGCTCACAGGCCTGTTGCAGACTCCTTGCGATCTTACCTGTGCACATCCCGACTGTGCCTTCTCCCTGTCCCCGAAGCTCTCAGCTGTGAGTGTGCATGCTTGTCATGCAAATAGTGCTGAAATTAATTCTACTGGGAGCAAAGCAGAAGTTGCAAAGCTATATTACCATTAACAAGTAATGTGCTGTATTGGAAATTGAGCAACCAGCCACGATGCTGAAAACACCTTTGTATTTTGTCTCTAATTACTAACTCATCCTCCCTCCCAAAGGATCTAGTTCCTCACAGGGAGTCTTTTCTGGGAGATGGGATCACTTTTTTTATGGGGTAAGAAAATAACAAGATTGCTTCCAGAGAAGCATGTTCTCTGACACTCAAGCCTGTGCATTGCAGTCAGTTGTTTTCACTCCTCCAGAGGTGATTTTGTGCATTTTATTCATTTCATAACAGCCATATCTCTAACTTTAAAACACCATGATTTAGCAGAAGCCTGACACGCCAGTAGTCAGTGTCTAAACCTTGCATAAAGAGATGCAGGACAAAGACAGGAATACTGCTGTCGAGGCACTAGACTGAAATCAGTGTTTGTTTTTTTTCCCTGCTGGCAGGAGCTGCTGCACACACTGAGAAACATGGTGATAAACTGGACTCCCGGGCAGACCACCTGCGTCATCTGCTCCTTCTGGGCCATGCTATGGCAGGATGAATACAGCCTGGCTGCTACTGCAAACCACCTGTGAAACAAAAGGTTTTGAGAGAGCAGATAAGAGCCTTCTTATTCTTCTTTATGCCAGCCAGATCATGAAGCTCCTTGGACTCTTCTCCTGACTGCTAGTGTTGGCTTAAGACAAGCAGAAGGAATATAAAACAGGCATTAGTGAGAGTGTGGCCACTCTCACTAGGGCAACACAGATTTGAACTACAATAAGCTGGTCATAAAACCATGTCCTTGTGGGCTCCAACACTGAGACTTAAAAGGTAAGACCCCAAGTGTTTTTCTTCTTTTTAATCAGGACTGAAAGTTATTGAATGTTTTGGGGTTTTCAATATTGAATCAAATTGACCATTCTCATAGAAAAATGCCCTTGAATTTTATATCACCTGTTTTCTTTGTGAACAGCAGTCATCAAGATAGAACTAGTCAAGGAAATTAATCTTTGCCCAGAGCCCTGTGGCAGGATGGCCTTGACTGGCTGCCAGGCATCCACCCAGCTACTCTCTACCTCCTCTTCCTCAGAAGGATTGGGGTAGGGCAATGATAGGAAAAAGCTCATGGGATGAGACAAATACAAAGAAAAGCAAAACCTGCATACAGAAGCAAAACAAAAAGAGGAATTCATTCACTACATCCTATCAGCAGGCAGATGTCCAGCTACTTTATGGGAAGCAGGGCCTCAGTATATGTAGCAGTTGCTTGGGAAGACAAGTGACATCATCACAAATGTCCTCCCATCATCCTTTTTTTCCCTCAGCTTTTATTTCTGAGCATATGGGCATCATATGGTATAGGATACCCCTTTGGTTGTTTGGGTCAGCTGTCCCAGTTATCTCCCCTCCCAGCCTGTTGCCTATCTCCAGCCTGCAGAATATGGGGTGTTGGAAGGGAAGCCTTGACACTTTGCGAGAGCTGCTTGGCAATAGCTGAAACATTGGTGTGTTACTTATGCTACCCTAGCCACAGCTGCAAGGCTGGTGTGAAGAAGGTCAGCTCCATCCCAGCCAGACCCAGTACAAAGCCATTTTGAATACTGTCCTACACACCACTGGATTTCTGAGAGCATTCCCATCAAAATTACTCTGAGATCAGGCACACTTTGGTTGAAGCTGCAAATAACTTCCACCTTGAGTTTAAAGTAACCCAAGATCCTGACCTTCAGTTTAGACTTGTATGATTTTGTGGGTGACTTTTCAGTCATGCACCAAAATATACACTGGCTGGATTGGTTTGGCTGTATACACAAGGTCCACAAAGTCACATCTTTTCAGAGTGGCCATGTTAAGTGACTGTGCTTTAAGTGAATCAAAGGAAAAATTACCTAAATCACAGACCTGTCTACCTATCTCTGAGGTTATTGTGCATGATGCTTTCAGAAGACAAAGGTTAAATGTGCTCTCATCTTGAAAAATAGTTGTGTCTGTCAAACTTGTGCTGAGTGCTTGTGGTTGCCATGTTTGCATCAGTTGTCAGGATGGCCCAATTGTTGCTGGGCTCTGTTTTGAATTCTCACTGACCTTTTGCAAAGAAAGCAAGCTGGAAAACAAGGGAGAAGCTGACAAGATCATTCACATCATAAGGAGGTTTCTGAACAGAGGTCTCTTACTTCTAATTCCCACATGTAATGGGCAAGAAGGGTCATTTCAAGTGTATGAATACTGATGTGTGTGCTGCTGACCTTCTTCTGAGGTGAATCAGTAGCCGTCATTCATCTGCATACATACATTCATGGTAAAAATACAGAAGGGGAGCAGTGTGAAAGGTATAAGGACAAGTTTATTGGCTCAGAACAAGCATGTCTAAATGCAGCACATAGCTATGTTAATATTGTCCAGATACATGTCATTCATTTTGTGTTGAGAACTGAAGTCCTCAGTATCTCTATCTTACAGTTGTTTAAAGGAAGCCTGGCACACAAAGGAAGGAGTTAGCATGGTTAGGGGAGTTATGAATAGTCCAATCATTATTTCAGCCAACAGGCCACCCATAAATGTGTATCAAATGTTGAGCTCAGCAGGAGTTAGTTACAAAACTAGGACACTTAATGAGTCATAAAGTGCCAGGAATAATGAGAGATGGCATTAAACAAACCATTTCTGCCTCTCCTGGGCTTGTCCAGAGATGGTGAAGAAGGCTTCTGCTGTTTCAGCTTTTCCTGCTAAAATCATATTTTTGACTTGCACT